TTGTGAGCTCGATACCCAGTGGAGGTGCACAGAAGGCAACCGATCAATCTTTCTCTCTCACCCATGTTTCTATCTCCCTCCCCCTTCTCTCTCTGAAATAACTAAAAGCATGTTTTTTAAAACAGAGGGAGGAGGAACCAAAATGGCAGCTTAGGTAAACGCCAGTACTCGCATCTTCCCACAACCACATCAAAATTACAACTGAAACACAGAACAACCATCATTCAGAACCACCTAAAATCTGGCTAAATGGAAGTCATATAACCAGAGAATTAAAGAAGAAAGCACATGGAGACTAGTAGGAGAGGCAGAGGCACAGAAGGGGCTGGTCTGGCTCCCACATGTGGCATGGTTTTCATCAGGAGGGATATCTTGGCTGAGAAGGCCTCCCGTGAGGAGCAAGGGATCCCAGCTCCACCCCAGGCCCCCAGCTCAGGGCTCCAGTGCCAGGAAGAGAAGTCCCAGTAACTTCAGGCTGTAAATGCAGCGGAGATTGTGGCTGAGTGACATGGAGGCTGCTGGAGTTCCAGGCAGTTTCTCTTAAAGTACCACTGACAGACTTACCACAACTCACTCTTGAAAGGATTCAGGGGAGGAAATAAATTATCTGGCATCAGAGAAAGATCTTGGGGGCAGCTTTCTCCCATACAGAAGTGCTGGGACCTCCCCCTAAACAGACTGGCAGGTACTATAGCTGAGTCTCCATCAACCTGGCCCACACTGTTCACCTCACCCTAGTGATTCCCTGAGATTCTGCCCCAACCAATTTGTAGCCCCACCCAAGCTGTTTGCAGTGTCTTTTTCATATGAATGGCCTGTCCTGGCACAGGCTTCAGACTTTCCTAAAAGCTCTTAAACAAGCAGCAGTTGGACTCAGTGCACCCCATATCTCTCAATAAGTGGCTCCAGAACCAGCACTAGCAGAAGCTTGCCAAGGTTCACAGCTTGGCCTCTCCTGGGCACCTCTAAGCCCAACACAAGTAGCAGCCATCTGCAGATCACTCTGTAGGTCATGCTGGGACACCCCAGGCAGGGCACAGGCAGTGGCTGACTTTACACCTCTGAGGAGGCCCCAGAGCCAGTGCACCTGGTGGATAGCTTTAGTCCATGCCTGATTACAACTCTACCACATCCATGAGCAACACACTCAAGGGGCAGACTTGGTGAGCACCAAAGCCCCACTGAAGCAAGTCCTGCTCCATAGGGGTTGTCTCCTGCACAGCAGCTCTTCCTCTGTAGTAGCAGCTGGTCCTCATAACCAATTGGCCTGGGGTCAATTCCTCCCAGTAATACACACAGCAGTCAAGTCTCAACTACAACAGGACAGCACACAAAGCCCACATCAGGGCACACCTAGAGTGCCCAGCTCAGATGACTAGGGATACTGAGTCACTGGGCCCTACAGGACACCTACTACACAAGACCACTCTCACAATTCCAGGAGACATAATAGCTCTACCTAATACATAGAAACAAACACAGGGAAGCAGCAAAAATGCAGAGACAAAGAAACATGTCACAAATGTAAGAACTGAAAAAATCTCCAGAAAAAAACCTAAATGAAATGGAAGCAAGCAAACTACTAGTTACAGAGTTCAAAACAATGGTTATAAAGGATATTCAAAGAACTTAATGAGAGCTTGAGGGGACTTAGTGAGATTTTCAAGGAAATTAGTGAGAACATGAAAGACATGAAAAAGGACTAGTCAGATATGAAGAATACACTGACTGAAATGAAGAATAATTTATAGGGAATAAACAGTAGAGTAGAGTATGCTGAGAATCAAATCAGCAATCTGGAATATGAGGAAGCAAAAAACACCCAATCAGAACAGCAAAAAGAAAAATGAATCCAAAATATGCAAATAGTGTAAGGAGCCTCTGGGACAACTTCAAGCATACCAACATTTGTATCAGGGTGGTTCTGGAAGGAGAAGAGAGGGAGCAAGAAATTGAAAAGAAGAAATAATGACAGAAAGCTTCTCCTATCTGGTGAAAGAAATAGACATACAAGTCCAGGAAGCACAGAGAGTTCCAAACAAGATGAACCCAAAGAGGCCTACATCAAGACATATCATAATTAAAATGCCAAAGGTTAAAGACAATGAGAGAATCTTAAAAGCATCAAGAGAAAAGCAATTAGTTATCTATAATATAGCTCCCATAGATTATCAGCTGATATCTCAACAGAAACTTTAAAGGCCAGAGGGAGTGGCAAGACATAGTCAAAGTGATGGAAAGAAAGGACCTACAACCAAGATGACTCTACCCAGCAAAGCTATCATATAGAATTGAAGGTCAGATAAAGAACTCCACAGACAAGAAAAAGCTAAGGGAGTTCATCACCACCAAATCAGTATTATAAAAAATGTTGAAGGGTCTTCTTTAAGAAGAAGAAGAAAAAAATAAGATAAAAAATATGAACACTAAAATGGCAATAAATACATATCTATCAATAATTAAATCTAAAAATCAAAATAAATGAACAAGGAATCTAATGAACAAAATAAACTTATGAATAAAATAGAATCAGAGGCATGGAAACATGGAACAGACTTATGAATCTCAGAAGGGGAGAGTGGAGCAGGAAGAGATTAACCAAAGATATTATATGCATAAATGCATTACCCATGGATACAGACAATAGGGTGGTGCAGGTCTGGGGTGGGGCAGGATGTGGGTGGAAGAGGATAATGGGGGGAGGAGGGGGAAAGAGGGGATATCTGTAATACTCTCAACATAAATATTTTTTAAAATAATACATAAATAAAAAGAAAGAATGTTTATTGGTAAAAAAAAATGCTCTTTGATTAACTAATTTCCTATAACCCTAATACCCTAATAGATTAATCAAACTTTTGTATAAACTTTACTTAACCTGAAAATTAAATGTGCTACACAGAGAAGGCTTAAAACAAATCATTGTTTAGCATTGCTGAATGGGCCCAAATCTAATCTTAAACCGATAAGTATCTCTTTGGCTCTATCTTGGATAAAAGCATAATAAATATCCCTCAACTTCCACTTTCAATCTCACATCCAAATGTTTATATTTTATAGGCTTTTCTGGTTTTCTCTGAGGTACTGACTAATCTAGATTATAGAATTTTACCCACATGTTGGAGTACCCCTTTCCAACTGACCCTAAAGGTATATTCATGCTTCTTGTCTTTGTCTTAATATGTCCCTGATTTGAGCTTCTCTCTGAGTCTCAATTGTTGAAATTAACTTGTATTTTCAATTATTCAATAAATCTGAAGATGGTGGCCCATAAAACTGTATTCATTTACATCTATGAGGGACCAAAATGGCATTCTGATTTTATGGTATTAGATATTTGACGTTCTGAAAGGAATAATAGACTACAGGCCCCTAGAGAACTATTCTCCTGATTTATTTATTTTAATTTTTTACCAGAAGTACCTCTATTATTCAAAATAAAAAATAAAAAAATTGAGGAACTTGAAACTGGCCATGTGTTTACCCAGAGCCCTAATTTTCTTGGGTACTCTAAGAAGTGTGGGAACCAAGCAGCTCAGAAAATATCTGGGTCCTGGTCAGTTTGGCTCTGTGGTTAAAGCATCGACCTATGGATTGAAGGGTCACAGATTGGATTCCTAGTCAAAGGCACATACCTCGGTTGCAGATTCCCTATTGCAGACACATTGATTGGTTGCCTCCTGGTAAGAGCAAGTGCAGGAGGCAACCAATCGACGTGTCTCGCTCTCACATTGCTGTTTCTCTCTCTTTCTCCCCCTCCTCCCTCCCTCCCACTCTCTCTAGAAATCAATAGAAAAGAAAAATATCCTCAGGTGGGAATTAAAAATATAAGAAGAAAATATCTGAGAATGGATGGGGTAGATGTCATATTAGATGGTGGTTAAGAAGAAGTCTTGAGTCTACTGGCCTGGATTCATATGCTAGTAGTACCATTTGTTAACCATATGGCCTGAAACAAGTATTTAACTTCCCTATGTCTCAGATTATTCAGATGTAAAGTGAAAACAGGCTTTTCAATAGTACTTACTTCATAAGGCTATTGTAAGGATTAAGTAAGATAATACCTTTTAAGTCTAGCATGTAGTAATCCCTCAATATGTGTTAGCAATAATATTGCATCCCAATATATTTTATTTCAATATTAGAGGCCTGGTGCACAACATTCGTGCACTGGGAGGGGGTTCCTCAGCCTGGCCTGTGCCCTCTCACAGTCCTTAGCACAGAGGCAGGAGAGGCTCCTGCCACAGCCACTGAGCTCGCCAGCTATGAGCCCTGCGCTGAGCGTCTGCCCCCTGGTGGTCAGTGCGTGTCATAGGAACCTGTCGTTCTGCCATTCAGTCAATTTGCATATTAGGGTTTATTATATAGGATATCCTTCTACCTCTGCCTGGACCTGTGAGGAACTCATGCAGGATCCCATGTTCGTTGAGAAGTCACACTGCGCTTTAAAATTCCAACCACAGCACTCAATTCTATCTAACATCAATCAAGCTTGGTTCTGGTCCAATTCCATGACCCTCAGGTAGACATGATATTTCCAAAGTAGTTGCTCTGGAGAAAATAAAGCTGAGAATTCACCAGATTATAAACATTCTGGAAGTAAGACAGGTTTCTTTTCTTTTTTTATGGAAGTGCACTATCTTGATAGTCTTATCTGAAAAAGTAAAAGTGGCTGCTTTCCTACAAAGGGAAAAACATTTTTGCCAAATGAAGTGAAAATTTACTGTTCTCTGTTTCTTCCCACAGTATCCGTAAATATGCTGAGGCCGTTAATTTGACCAGCTGGTTTTTGAGACCCTGCTGAAATGAGAGATGCCCTCGTTTTACATTTCCCTCAAATTCTACCACAAACCACACTTCTTAGGAGAAAAAAAAAAAGTCGCCATGTAAGCATGTTTACCTTCAACAGACCAGGAAGTTGAAACTTGTCCATAAATGATGACTCACCATTGTAGGTCTATAAAAGTAAAGGTGCTGGTCTATGGAAAGACAGCAGCCTGCAGGCACAGCCATTCAAGATGCACTCAGGTGTCCTGGCTGCCTTCCTCTTCTTGAGCTGGACTCCTTGTTGGTCCCTGCCCCTTCCCAATGATGAGGATGACGACGATCGGTCTGAGGAAGACTTCCAATATGCAGAGGTAGAGTATCTTGCCAGTCCCAATGGTGCGAAATATATCATAAATGCCCTTCTCTTTTAAAAGCAGGGTATTTTGGTCTCTTTTCCAGCGCTACCTCAGATCATACTACCATCCCCTGAACCCCGCTGGCATCCTGAAGAAGACCGCAGCAAGCTCCATGGTTGACAGGCTTCGAGAAATGCAGTCTTTTTTTGGCTTGGAGGTGACTGGCAAACTTGACGATAAGACCTTAGACATCATGAAAAAACCAAGATGTGGGGTCCCTGATGTGGGTGAATACAATGTTTTCCCTAGAACTCTCAAATGGTCCAAAATGAACTTAACCTACAGGTAAATCAATGGCTATGTCTCTTTAATTTTTGTTAGTTTTCATATAGTAGTAAATGTCTAATTTTCAGCATAAGCTACAGATGAAAATGTCTCATAACATCAATTAATGTTATCGTAACCAGCATTAATTTTTATTGGAAATTTCAAAGTATTTCTCTTAGATATGAATCAAAATAGAAATAAATTAAGTTTAATAAAATTTGCAAATATAGTGCATCAAGCATATTTATTATAACAATACTAAAAAGAGAGAGTTCTACTCTTTCTACAAACTTTATAGAACTATTTCATCTATTTAGGCTATAGCAATACAATTGTAAACTTTTAGCATGCAATATAAGTTTTATTAAACATCTGAATACTTTAAATGTAAAATGCCAAAAGGTTAGATATTTGGAGATACTCATAATGTCTGATTGAATGCTTCATTTTAAATCTTTGTATGACATCATAATAAGTTCTTTAAAACTTATTAAAGAACTTTTAGAGAATCGTTGCATTTTGAGTTGAAAAGCTATATTCTAAGAAAACATATTCTAATATAGTTTTCACCTTCTAAAAATTTAATTGAAACGTTTTCTGTTGAATAGAATTGTGAATTATACCCCTGACATGACTCATTCTGAAGTGGAAAAGGCATTCAAAAAAGCCTTCAAAGTTTGGTCTGATGTGACACCTCTGAATTTTACCAGACTTCACAATGGCACTGCTGATATCATGATCTCTTTTGGAACTAAAGGTAATGATGCAGAACCACTTTTGAAATATTTGTATGTTCTGCTCCTTAATTGGCTCTTAGTTTTTAATTTCTTCTTTAAGTCATCCATTACTTTTTACGAAATTCAACAAAAATTCACTGAGCTGCTGTGTTAGGCACTACTGGGTATAATTAGATTCTGAACTCTTGCTTTTGTGCAGAGCATGGTGACTTCTACCCTTTTGATGGCCCCTCTGGTCTGCTGGCTCATGCTTTTCCTCCTGGGCCAAATTACGGAGGAGATGCCCATTTTGATGATGATGAAACTTGGACAAGTAGTTCCAAAGGTAATATTTCTTATAAAGATATAATTAATGATTACTAGGTTAGACCATTAATAAGAAGTTAAAAAGTATATACATTATACATAAAAACATATGAATTACATTTGGTATTTGATTTTTCAAAAGTATAAAAGCTTATCTTATTAATTTCCACAAATGACATTTCTCTGACATTTCTATTTAACCAATGTGAAAAGAAAAATTGAGCAAAATCTACTTAGTTTAGTGACTTGAGGGACACTAACTAACTTTGAAATAGGACCAAAAATGTCTTTCTGTCAACCAAGGTGTTTTTACTGTGGATTACCTTTTGGTCTGTTAGAGAAATACAGTTTATTACAAATATACATCTAAAAACTATTAGAGCTGGATATGTAGGTCATAGATGAATTGGATGTGAGTTGAAATAGTTTCTTTCCCACACCCTGGTAGAAATATTAATGGCACAAGTCCAGTCAAATTTATGTTCCCTGTTATAAGAGTTACCTATTTCAGATTTGTCTATATTATTGATTTTATAAATACCATTAAGATACCAAGAAAGTTCTTACTGCAAATCGCATGAAACGGGCCAGATGAAAGTTGTATTTAACAGAGAAAAATTAAACTTAGCTTTGAATAAATCCAGTCAGAAGTTGAATCTTCAAGGCTCAAGAGAATTGGAAATGTTTATTTCAGAAAGAAACCTACAAAAAAAACACACCACAAATTGTTACAACTAGGTCTTAACTTTGAAGCTGTATTGACCCTTAGTTGTGACAACTAAAAGTAGTCTTCATAGATAGCTAATTTTTATTATTCGTTTAAAATCAAAGTAGTATCTTTTCAAAGAGTAAAATTGGGCCTTGAATGATTAATGTCTCAACTCCAGTGCCTCCAATCTGTCATTGGAAAGAAAGATAAGAATGTACATATTTATGTTCTGAATATTCCACAGGTAAGAATGGTTTTAGGAAGAAAAAATAATATTTAGTATTTTTAAGATAGAAGATAGAGTCACAATAAACCTCAGTTTTAGGTTTCTGAATAAATTCTGGGTTTAAAATATTTAATTAATCCTGGTAAATCCACAGGTAAACCAGGATTAACTTTTCAGCTAAAGGCCAAGAATGTTATCCATTATTAATCATTTCAATGACAAATTACTGTCATTCAGATTATGTGAACTTTGCTTTTCTGGTCTGCAACATTTACTGAGTTAATTATCCATTTTCTTCATGCATAGGCTATGGTAGCAAAGGGAATTTAAGGTCAATCTGAAACCACTGGCTCCAGTTTTCATGTATTCTTTTTCTTTTAAACTTTTTATCTTTTTCCAATTTAAAATACCAGTATTACGAGGCTAATAAGCTGGTGGAAAGAATGACTTAAAGAAAATAATGTAAATACAGAATCATAGTAGTCTTTTAAAGTAGAGGGGGGTTGGCCAATCATTTTACTAGTAAGGATTTCTGTTTCTTTAAACTGTAGGGTCTAGAGATATTCTGAAAAGGATTGTTTGTTTGGAATTTGTTCACAGTAGATTCTTAGACCCTCTTTAGTACACACTCCATCCCTGGTAATCATCCTTTTGGATGCTGCCTAGTATTTCAATTATGTTTTACATAGCATCCTACATTCTAGTACAGGATGGGGCAAAAGTAAGTTTACAGTTGTTTGTATGGAAAAATAATACAATAATACTATTTAATAATAGACAAACAGGATAACTGACCATACCTTTGCTATGCCTCCCATTGGCTAATCAGTGTGATATGCAAATTAACCACCAACAAAGATGAGGGCTGGTGGAGCAGGAGGCCTGACGTTTCCAGGGCCGGCTCCGGCCAGAACTCGGCCAGAGCGAAGGCCTGGGCCCCCGGGTGCCGGAGGCAAACCGGTGCCAGCAGCCAGGGGAAAGGAAGGCCTATTGCACGAATCTCTTCGTGCAACAGGCCTCTAGTTAATAAATAATAATACAAGAATAAACTCAGTGTTTCACATATATACTCACAACTGTAAACCTACCTTTGCCTCCACCCGGTTTGAACCCCCATGTGACTCCCACGACTCCTCATTTAAGGTCATCACTGTTCACTCTCCTCACCTGACCCGAGAAAACCGAGAACAAGTCAGGATTGCTAGTAAATTCTTCTTATTACCAAGTGGTTGAGAGCAATCTGTTGATATTCTAATTATGTAAGCAACTATAATGAGAGCACTAACTTATTCATAAAGATTAATAAATAATCTTTATAAATAAGATTAATCTTGATTCTTCCTTCAAGCAACTGAACGTTAATTTTAAAAAGTGAGTGAAATAGCAAAGAGAGAGGAACAATGACATACAAAATAGATGAGGAAAATAACATTTCTTCCATTAACTGCTCATTGGAGGACCTTGTTTTCTAATTGTTTCCTTGTTTCCTTACAGGCTACAACTTGTTTCTTGTTGCTGCCCATGAGTTTGGCCACTCCTTAGGTCTCGACCACTCCAAGGACCCAGGAGCACTCATGTTTCCTGTCTATACCTACACTGGCAAAAAGCATTCGTGCTTCCTGATGACGATACGCAAGGGATCCAGTCTCTCTATGGTAACTCTTTTTTAAAAAATATATATTTTTATTGATTTCAGAGAGAAAGGGAGAGGGAGAGAGAGATAGAAACATCAATGATGAGAGAGAATTGTTGACTGGCTGCCTCCTGCAAGCCCCCCTACTGGGGATAGAGCCCGCAACCCAGGCATGTGCCCTTGACCAGAATCGAACCAGTGACCCTTCAGTCCGCAGGCCAATGCTCTACCCACTGAGCCAAACCAGCTAGGGCTTAACTCTTAATTTATCAGCTTAAAAGCAAAATAGATTTATACATTTATTTTCTAAATTATCAGTGAATTTGCCACTACCACCTTTGCCATTGTGGCTTTGTTATTAAAACCTGGGAAAACATGCCCACTTATTCTTTCCAAATAGAACAACCTGCTTAAGTAGAAAATATTCCATTCTCCAAAGTTCTCATAACTCTTTATATTTGTGTTTTATACATTGCAAGGTACATTTGATACTCTCAAAACACCTCTGACATAAGAAGGGAAAATATTTTATTCCCCATTTAACCAATGAAGACACCAAGCCCTGTAGATTTTATAATTTTTTTATATCCTCACCTGAGGATATGTTTATTAATTTTAGGTAAAGGGGAAGAGAGAGACAGTAGAGAGAGAGAGAGAGAGAGAGAGAGAGAGAGAGAGAGAGAGAAACATCATTCAGTTGCCTCCCATATGTGCCCAGACCAGGGATTGAATCCACAACCTACGATGTGCTCTGACCAAAAATCTAACTCACAGCCTTTTGGTGCATGGGACCATGCTCCAACCAACTGAGCCACACCAGCCAGGGCTAAGCCCCGTACAGTTAAATGGTATATCCACAGCTGGGGGTGAAAGGGAGATCTTAACCAGCTTTTATAAATTCTGGGCATTCTTTCGACCACAATGGTTTGCCACAGTAGAACTATTCAATTGGCTTGTAGTAGGTTTTAATCAACATCTACAGTGACTATTGTAAAAATTTCTTTCTTTTTTCCTTCCCAAATTTTTAATAATATTTACAAAGTAATTAATCCTAAACTCAAACAAGCAAATTAGCCACCAAAAATAGAGTTAAAGCCATAGTGCACGGGCATCAGTGTAAAGCTCCTGGTACACAGCTCAGAAAACTTGCTCATGCCACCCAACCCATTGTCTCCCCTCTGGATTTCAATCTACTATAACAGCTAGTGTAGGTGTGAGCAAGCACTTTGTAATTATTCTTCCTACAATATTGTGACCAAGGGACTTGACGATTGAAGTCATATGTACTAAGTAGAGAAAAGGGTTTAGAATAGTCATTGTACACTGCACCTCTTTTGCACTCATGTGAGGTGGAAAGTTTACAAACACGTGGCAAGTCATGTTAGTGCTGCCGAAGGCCTGGCTTTTCACTGAGAGACAGCTGCACGGTGGGAAACTGGTGAAGCAACATGAGCTGTTGTTAACAGCTGGGAAAATAGGCAAGAGAAAGAGCCAAGATAAGGGCTTCCATAGGGACGATGGGCCATCAGAAATGGCTTCAAGAAGAATGTGTTTCTCAAGAGCAGTCTGTCAATAGTTGTGCAAAGCATGGGGGAAATGTCCTCATTCCCGCCCACCCCCATTTCTATCACCATCCTCCAAAAACCTAAACTTGTACTTCAAATGAATCTCTAGGGGTCTTGAAGGATGAAAGCAGAAGGGGACATCCCACCTGCAAGACCTTGGTAACCCTGGGGGAAGGAAGGAAGATAACATGGTATTTGGTCCATTATGTAGGAGGAACAGGATTTACTAGTACTGCCCTCCCTAGAGGGAGCCCTCTCCTACTCTCCATTAGCAGGACCAGGTCATCAGTAAGGTTCTCCTCAGCAACTTCTTTCATTTATTTATGATTGCAGGTCCAGGAGATGAAGACCCCAACCCGAAACACCCCAAAACCCCGGACAAATGTGATCCCTCCTTATCCCTCGATGCCATTACCAGTCTCCGAGGAGAAACAATCATCTTTAAAGACAGGTATTCTTGAAATTATTTTATAAAATCTGCATGTAACAAACATCTGTGAAGCTGTTTCTGCAAAATTCCAAAACATCCAGTCAGACTTCCAACGGTGACGTGAACAGTGAACATAATAGTACTTTGAGCAGTGTATTTTCCTATTTCAGATGAAATAGCTAATAGATAAATGTTTATTTTTCAATAAATAACCTTGGCATTGTACAGATTTTTTAATATCTTTGGTCTACTCTTCTTTATAAAGGTAGTCAAGTAAAAATATAAGTCCAATTTATTTATTTAAAAACACAAATATTGGAATTAATTACCATATTAGTAAACTGTTACTTGTTATGGCTCCATGAATTCCTTTTGGTGTGAAAGACTTTGCACCAGGTACACATGTTGGAATATGCTTTACAACCTAATCCTGTAGGCAATGAAAAACGAAATATTTAATTTTTAATTTTAATCTGCTTATAAATATGCTTATTTGTTCATTTATTCATTCATCAGTTAATTGTTCCCTCACCTGTGACCTGCTCGCATTTCTACATCCTCTATTACAGCTCTAGTGACACTGTACTATACTCCAGGTATTTTCTCATTCAGGTTCCCCAGGCCATGAGACCTTGACCGATGCAGTTTATGTAACTCGTGTTTTCTTTCCAGAGCCCTACACAGTGCCTGGTATATTTGTTTTCCACCTGCAAGATCTGCAAACTTGAGCAAAGCATGGTCCCAATCCACAAAGGACTTTATAGCCTTCACAAAGGCTCTGTGAGACTTTAAATTTGAGTACTGCAGGCTAGAGTTAGGATAGCAACAGCTTGGATAACTGGCATGTAAAGGGAAATGCTTTTCTCCTTCACAGGCGATAGAGAATGTGTCTAACTTGTCTGCATTGATATAGAGACAGGTGTCGAGCAGGATAGAAATACTGCACTTACAAAGTGACAGAAAACTGTATTTTTATTTTTGTGTTAGATTCTTCTGGCGCCTGCATCCTCAGCAGGTTGATGCTGAGCTGTTTCTAACAAAATCCTTTTGGCCAGAACTTCCCAACCGTATTGATGCTGCATATGAGCATCCCTCCCATGACCTTATCTTCATCTTTAGAGGTAAGCTTTCCACTAGCTAGGCCTCCCACGTAGGCAGTGATAAACTTGATGATACCAAATACTTAGTAAAATGATCACTCCTGAAAATATACCTAAATTAAGAATCAAGTATACCAAAATGGAAAAGAGAAAGCACCTAAAACTTTTTATCAAGTATCCTCAGATTTGACAAATGGGAAGTCTACATTACTATGATAAGTATATAAGGGTATATATACACATATACATATATACATATACATACACTATATGATGAATACCCACTTTTGTTTCATAGCAATCATGTCAATTTTTTTCTATTTCCTTTTAAAAGTCATTTACTGAGCAAGCATTATAACAATGTACATTTTGAAAAATTGAAAAAATG